TCTGCAGTTCGGCGGTTCTAATCTCACCGGCTCAGGTGGCGCAGTGGTTAGGGTGCAGTAGTGCAGGCCACTTCAGCTGACTGCTATCTGCAGTTCAGCGGTTCAAATCTCACCGGCTTAACGTTGACTCCGCCTTCCATCCTTCCGAGGTGGGTGAAATGAGGACCCAGACTGTGGGGGCGATATGCTGACTCTGTAAACCGCTTAGAGAGGGCTGAAAGCCCTATGAAGCGGTAATGTAAGTCTAACTGCTATTGCTATTGCTATTTCTCAAGCAGAACATTCTTTTCCCTTGTAAAACCAGTATCAGTCATTTAAAAAAATGTATCTTTTACATGAAGCTTCGCTTTGATATCTTGTTGGTAACTAAGCAATGTCAAAACTCATCCCAAACCAGCAAACTCCTGCCGTTTGCTAAGATTGTCAATTTCCCCTTAACTTCTCTGAAAAATCTTTGATTGTGTAGAACCAGTTTTTTTGGAAATTGCACGTGGAGTTTTAGGATGTAGGCATTGCATTTGAAGATGTACCTACCTTATCTAGAATCTAAATTTGGATATCACATAGTGATTGTACTTTAAATTCAGATCACAAATACAAAATCATCTTGCCTATATTTGTTACCTTCTCAAGAATATCGGATGTCCTTCTAGAACGTTGAAAAATGTTTTTTCTTTCGTTTTTGTTTTTTTTTACTTTTTCTGGAAGAACAATTGATTTTTAAGATCATACAGAATGGTTAATCAAGACTGCTGTGTATAAGCAATATTTCTACACATAATCTGCCCTTAGAATGCATTACTGCCTAGTTTCAGCTCACAATATAGTTGTTAAATGCATTTTAAAGTAATGTCAATAGATAAGCAACTTTCTGAAAAATGCTAATTCATGCTTAAAATAGATTTTTTTTTAAAAAAAATGAATTTTTAAAAAGGTAAATACTTAATTTTGTTTTGTTTTGCATTAATATGTGTGTTAAAACACTTTTCTAACAGAATATATACTAAGTTATATGTTACTCTGAAATACAGGTCGTTCTCAACTTACAACAGTTTGTTTAGTGATCATTCAAAGTTGATTCAAAAAGTGACTTATGGCCGTTTTTCACAGTTACCACTTTTGCAGCACCCCCCTAATCATGTGATCAAAATTCAGCTGCTTCATTTTTAGCACCATTGCTGTGTCCTAAGGTCATGTGATCACATTTTGTGACCTTCTGACAAGCAAAGTTAATGAAACTAGATTTAGTTAACAGCCAGGTTACTAACTTGTCAACCACAGTGATTCACTTAACGAATGAAACAAGAAAGGTTCTAAAACGGGGCAAAACTCACTTAACAAATCTCTCCCTTAACAACAGAAACATTAGACTCAACTCTGGCCGTAAGTTGAGGACTGCCTGTATAAAATAATATTTTAAAAAAATTCTCCATCTGGATTGATTGAATTTCTGTTTTCTGAAAATCCCAAGAGGTATTTATATGAAAATGACTATTTTGTTCAAACATTCCAAGTGTTTGGGATGTTATGCTGGAGATTACTTCCAGTATACTATCACCACCAACTATTGTAACATAGTAGTTATGGTTGCCCCAGACATATACTATGCTAATACAAACATATTTAAACAAATATTCTTTAGCTGATAATTTTATAATCAAGTTACCTGATAAAAGATTTATTGCAAAAAAAAAATTCAACAGTTTTTGTGTTTATATGCAAAATTTCAGTGATGAATTTATGATTGATAGCAATGTCATTTTAGCTAACATGCTGTTTTTTACATTCTGTTCTGTACGTTTTTGTGAATATTCTGACAGAGTACATTGTCTTGTCTTCACCAGTCCTAAAATTGTACATATTTCTATATATCCTGCTTTTTTAATACTCCCATTTTTCCCAACCTCAGGATGCACAAGGCACAGGCTGTCTAATGTTAAAACATTCTTTTTATATTTGTATGCTTGTGTTTGGTTTATAAATTGGTTCCTCAGAGTGCCACTTTTAAGACAGAATATTTAAAAAATGGCTATATTTAAAAAATTTGGATAATTATCTTGATATATTTATATATTTTCTTTAAAAGAGGAAGAAGTCTAACATCTTATTTTTTGTATTGTAAAGAGCTTGGAATATACTTTTGGAGAAAATCATGCAGAATTGAAAATTCTATAACGATTACTTTTGAATATGTCTCACTTCTGGGTTTAAGAGTATGGTGTATGCTTGGTAAAGTACATTTTGGAGAGAATATATTTTGGTTAAAACTGTATTTTATCAGTTCATTGATTTTATGGATAGGTTTTTAACTTATTACCTTATACAATTACAATATGTGGAATGCTCAACATTTTAATAAATCAGGATCCAAAACCTACTGCGTAAACATCTAGATGATTTCCTGTGCCTGTGCCACGGGCACACCTGTCGCGTGTTTTAGCTAAGGACTAACTCAGTTTCATATTTTTATTGGCTTTCAAGATTTCGAAATGTTAGGAGATTGGCTTCTATACACGTCTTTAAATGGTTTTTGTTTCATTTGGTTTTGCTATTCATTCCCCACACTGTGCCTTCCCCATCCCCTCATATACTATACAACTACGTTTCAGCACTCGGTTTCAGGCTGAGCCTCCAGATTTGTGCCTCAAAAGCTTCTAAGCAGTCTTAGATTATATCTCCTCATGTTGCAACAAGTAATTTTGGAATAGGTATACCTCGTGGGGGGGGGGGGTTTACCACTCTTGAGGATGTAAGATAGAGACAGTTGTCATCCTGTGCACAGAAGCCCCCTTTCCTTCTGTGACAATGAATATTATATGAATGATTCGCTTCAAAGAAGAGAAGAGCAGCCATAGAAATGTTTTAATGAATATTTCATCAATGCTGCATGAGTATGTGTTGAATTTAGGAATGGAAGAGAAATTTGTTTGATTCAAATTTTATGGGACTGATGCCCCTAACATCAGTACAGCATTTATTTTTCAGGGCATTGCAGTGGTTTGAAAATTAAAATATACACAGTATATGGTGCATGTAAAAGAAAAGAGCTTTTAAATTATGTTAAGGAAAAAGTATTTGAGAGACCGCCTTCTGCCAATTACCTCCCTGCGTCCCATCAGATCGCATAGAGTTGGCCTCCTCCGTATTCCATCCGCCAGCCAGTGCCGACTGGCGACTACTCGGAGGAGAGCCTTCTCTGTTGCGGCTCCGACGCTATGGAACAATCTCCCCGTGGAGATTCGTACCCTCACCACCGTCCAGGCCTTCCGCACAGCCCTCAAGAACTGGCTAACCCGTCAGGCCTGGGGATAATCTTATTTTCGCCCCTCCCGAATGCTGAGTGAATGTTGAGTTTTATTGTCTAATTTACTTTGTGCACATTTCTTTTTTTGTATTGTCCTACACTCCCCTTCCTTTTTGATTGTAAGCCGCCCTGAGTCCCCTCAGGGAAAAGGGCGGCCTATAAATAAATAAAACAAACAAACAAACAAGTAAGCATGTAACACTAAAAAAAATCTCAACACTAGACATGTACAAAAACTAAAATCAATTTTCTATTCTTTTGTTATATTTATCCAACTGTGGTAGAAAGGTGAAAGGTAATTTAGAATTTGGAAAATAGAAACGGAACAGACCAAAATGATAAGATTCATTCATTTCTATTCAAACGTCAGAACTGAGATTTTAAACAAGGTATCTCTAACCCTAGCATAAAAGATACCGTTTAAAAACTCACTGAAAGACTGCCATCATTTCTAAGTCTCGTCCCCACTGGAAGGACTTGCTATTGACACTACAGGATACACAAGGGAATCATTTCCCCAAATACATTTTTGCAAATAAATATTCTCTTAAAATGCATGTAAATTCTGATTGGGAAAAGCTTCCAATGCTTTGAAGATTTCACTTCGCATGTCTTCTAGAGGAAAGTGGGAGAAAAATAAAACTTCTATATATTATTTTCAAAATAATACAGCAAATAATAGATTAAACAAAGTTGAAATGCCATCTTTTCAGTAATAGTAACATTTTCACAAATTGTTTCCATCAATATAGGTCAGAACAATTTTTTCCATATTTTTCACCCTTTGTGCAATTTATAAACATAGAAATCTGGATATTACTTTATTAAACCTGAGCAAATGCTGGTTTTACCAGTCTTAACTTCTTTTTCTATTATTAAAAATGAGGGCTCCCTCTTTGCAATGATTTTCCATTCGAACTTTTCTTGATTTTTATTGTTTCTCTTTATTTGCTAAATGAATAAAACATGTTTAATTTCACTTGTATTCATTAATAAAGTTGTTGTACATATAATACTGCAGCTAATCACCAGTACTCCGACTTACAATGACAATTGAACCCAAAATTTATGTTGTTGAGTGAAACATTTGTTAAGTGAGTTTTGCCCCATTTTATGACCTTTCTTGC